CCTCAACCTGTGAAATGGCCCTATGAGTAACGGCAAGGCGAGAAAGCCCAAGAACAGTATTGATTACGCACCTGACATAAGTGCTCCGTAGAGCTGAGCTTCAGTGGTGAGTGTTGGCACTTTAAGATGAGCTACTGCAATACCAGACTAGACGAGCCCTCTGCAAACGCCCTGCTAAAGGTGATGAAGTCAGCCTGAACAGTGATGTTTAAAACGCCGCTGTGAAAAACAGAGTTGCAGGTACGAAAGAGCGTCCCCTCTTTATATCCTAGTCTGAACCTGGACCTTTGCTGGCACGCCCGGAACAGACCCGTGAGCTCCCTGCTGAATTGAGCAAACAGGTAAACTGTACAAGGAGAACCGGAGGTGACGCACACACAATGCAGATTTTTGTCATGAAAGGACACTGCTTGGGTTGAACGGTGTACAGGTCCGTGATGGACTGAACTTGGAGGGCAATTTGGCGAGCAGCAGAAAGTGGATACACACTTTGGTGTTTACGGGTTGTGAATTAGATGAAACTCATTGGAGGCTTATCATTGCACTGCCACGCGATTGCTTCAAGGCGGGAGTGTTTGGGGTGAACGGCCCATCCCTGTGCAATACGCTTGTCACCTTAGCACCATGTCCATACGCTTTAAGCGTCGTAATGATGCCCGACCAATTCTTGTCTAGGTTGGACGTATTTGGGAGGATGCGGGCGTCGTGTTGTTCTTCAATATTGTATTCGAGCAAGAAACGGTCTGCGTCAAGGTGAGGTGCAGTGAGGACTTGCTGAAAGATTCTCTCTTGTGTAGGGGTGAGGACTGAGTAACGGCGCCCGGCGGGGATCACACAGCTTACCGCAGTGGGAAGACACACTTCAGAATTGCGCTCGAGAGAGCAGAAGTTCAGAGCTGCGCGGTGAACATAGCACTCTATTCTTACTGACCTTGACTTGGTGAACCGAAAAGTGAAGAAGTCCGCAATAACAGTATTGTTTCAACAAAGGTGAGACATGAATACAGCATCACAGCATCTAAAAAATCAGCAAGTGCGCCGAGTTGATCAGACTTGGTACCGCATGATTGTGGTAGCTTCGTTGAGTGCGGTCCCACAATCATGCCACACTCCCCTGCTTGAATCTGTGCAGGTTTGTAGGTAGAAGTAAGTGGTGTCCCTAGAGACAGCAGGTGACACATACACACAAAGGGTTTTGTGCGGCTGTACATTCGAGTTGAAGCCAAATCCTTGGCTGAAACCTTGCCGTGGTTCTTTGTGGGGTAGCCAAGGTGAGCTGCTGGAATCTGTTCAGGAGATGCGACTTTGATTGAGCGGCAAATCACACCAGCATTGGACCATTGGATTCAGATCGAGAGAGATTCTACACCCATGAAGATACTCCAAGCTCATCATCATGATGGATCCATGTCAGCGGAGGGTCCATTCTGTGTTTTTGAAACCTTTTGCGAGATCAGATGCAATTTTCTTGGTTCGCTCTTGGGGCGATCGAGCGCTAGGACCCCGAGCAGATCACGAAGCTTTTGTGTAGGAATCTTAGATGTCAGTATGTTCTCATCAGTAGGGATGGAGAGAGTCGTTGACAGCAACATGCAGTCTTTGGACAGATGAATATTTTCCTTTGTTTTGGTTTCATTGTTTTTGCACGCATTTCAGAAATCCGAACTGGACTTCACCTCCAACTGCAGGTTCCAAGTTTTCTCAGCTTATTGACAGGGTCGCACAGGCCTCCGGAGATTCGTGGAATATGCAGTGGTGCAAGTAGGTCAGGTTGGGTGCAAAGAAAAAAGGTGTAGGGCAAACTGACAGTTAGATTTTCTATATACCTTTGTTCCTTAAACCTTACTTGATTTCTTCAACACACGTTCAAAGAGCAAATGCCACTCAAAGGTTTAGGTCTTGGGCTCAACTTCTCCAGGCCGAGGAAGCGACTGATGTGGCTTCAAAGCGCTCTGAGCAGCTGAGGCAGGAAGAACAACCGAAGAACCCGTTGGCCTAAGCAGTCGCACAAATCGCATCGTCGTTGAAGAGTCAGCTTAGCTCAAGCTGCTTAGCTCAAGTCAGTATCCCTTCCACATGATTCAAGTGGCAGAGGTAGAGATTCTTCACTGCATCCAAGCAACTGCCAGGCAGAAGGTGCAAGACTCAGCAGATCGCCGACAGGTGCGTCGGAGGGCCCTTGTGGATCTCTGAAAGTCGCACAGACTTTTGAGCTGCTCAAAGCCGCTAAAGCTATACTAGCTTCTTGTTACTACTAGTAAGGCACTTGTTACTACTAGCGATGCACTTGTTTCTACTAGCTTCTTGTTACTACCATAGCGAGAGCTGGTCCGGTGAGTCGTTAAAGTTGGATAATTTCACCTGCGGGTGACACATCGCCAGACGCCGTCCGTCATGGAACTCAATATGGCTTAGTGGGATCCTTCATATTTTTTTTTGCATCCCAAGTCTTACAGCTGTTCAGACTGGACAATCCCTAATCTGATTGCGTGTAAGTATAAATCTTTGGGAGAGCATCAAAGGGGATCTCACGGGGCGGGTGGATCTCAGGAGGGGGTACCATATGTATATATATATATATACATATTATGAAACAGGGGTGGATACCGGTGGATACCCCAAAAAGACTCCCCTGAGACCACCCAGGTGGCAACTTGCACCTTTTCCGACCTCCGACCATGAGTTGCATGCGGGTTTCCTATCATGCGAAGTGGACATTGCTTTCATACTCCTCTTACTTGGACCCAGTGCTTGGACCTATTAAACTACAATTCTTTCGTCCACTTGTCCGAGTCTTGCGTTGGTTTGGGATAGCCAAGTAGCTCGTCACTGCCTCTGATCAGGCGACCACGACACAGCTTGAGACCTCAGAGTCGAGTGTGAAAGGGATGTTGTCACATAAGGCGCTCCAAGCAGTGTGTCGTAAACTTGGGAGACCCAGGCATCATATCTAACCTTCTTGCTTCGCCATCACCGAGGGATTCCCAAAAACTCGTTGGACCAAGAGCAACGTAAAGCTTTGAGACAATGGTTGAGTCTTTGCCACTGACATTCCTTTGTCCACTTCAGAATTTGCCATAAGCGTCAATGTGCGAAGAAGGGCAGGACTACTCTCAGCCGTGCAAGTGTTCTCAGGATGCAAAGCTCCTTGCGAACGCAATTGTCAGAGGCCTCTGAAGTCGGGGAGGTTTTAGTTCGCAACTATTTGTCTCAAGTGGGTTTGCCTCTTCCATGACATGGATATGAATGAAAAAAGAAGAACAATATATTTATTGCATGTACACACACTTATAATTAATGGCTACTTCAGCTTCAGTTTGTGTGAGAGATAATTTCTCGAAGTAAAATGGTGCAATTCCACAATTCGCAGGCCGAAGCCGCGCAACACCGGCTCAAAGAAGCCAGGAGACGCTGCAAGCGCAAGGATGTAGGCTTCCATTTAGTCACTTCAAACCGAATTGGCTCATTTGTAAAACTAAAAGCTGAAGCCTGAGTGAGTTTAAAGAGCAATTGCGGAGAAATTGCAAAGCCACATTCAAGCACATTTCCAATGGGTCCCGATCAGCTCGAGACTTTGATCACCAGGGCTGAACTCAGATGATAAGATATCACTCTTTTTGTGGGCTGTGCTCCACCATCAAGACCTGGAAGCTCTTTGCAAGCTTTCCACCAGGGCGAGTGCGGAGTTTGCCACCGGAGAGGTTTTGCGAGCCAAAGAGGCAGGTTTGCGCCAACAAAGCCCGGTGAGTCTAGTGGAGTCCAAAGGACTGGTCCTTTTGGCCGAAAGTGGTAGTGTTGGAAGTCTGGAAGCTCATAAGGACCACTTGTTCGGCCAGTCCTAAGGCAGCCCACTCCCTCAACGAGGATTGTGAACGGTTGAGCTCGTGCAAGACTCAGCTAGGTCGCCAGGTCTAGAGTCCGATGATTTCAGAAGACTCGCAGCAGACAAAAGGCTAGGACCTTCTAGGTCCTGCTCGGCTCTCTAGGCCTACTATAGGCGTTTGCAGGTGAAGATCAACATGTGTGTTCCATAAACAGGTCCACGTTGATGGGGCTTTGCACGTTTGAGGCAATGCCGCGAGGAACAAAGAAGCCTCGAGGAGTGAGAATGGTGAGGTCAAATTTAATTCTTGTTAGTAATAGCTTCTTGTTACTACTAGTCACTTGTTACTAGTAGTAAGGCACTTGTTTCTAATAGCTTCTTGTTACTACTAGTAAGGCCCTTGCTCCTAGTAGCGATGCACTTGTTCCTAGTAGCTTTTTTGTTCTTCAAGTAGTGTTTGGCTGTGTTTTTCCCTGTCTCTCACTCTCTCTCTGTCACTCTCCCATTCTCACTCACTCACCCACCCACTCACCCACTCTTACACGCTCTCCCTCTCTCTCCCTCTCTCTCCATCTCTCCCTCTCCAGTTTCTTACTATTTTGTGGCCCTCCTTCCGCAGGACTGACTAGATCATGGCCCTTGGATATTTGATGATATTTGCATCCATGTTCTGAACAAAAGGAAGTATTGATTTTCTTTGAAATCATCCCAAAGCCTTCCAGCATTTTCCAGCAGATGCCAAGGGTGTAAAGTTCAGGGCAGCAAACAAACTATCTAAGGAGACCTCTGCGCGGTGGCAGCAAGAAGAGCAGAGCGGTGCCACGTCACCGGGCCTAGATTGTTCCTAGTAGCTTATTGTTTCTAATAGCTTCTTGTTACTACTAGTAAGGCACTTGTTACTAGTAGCGATGCACTTGTTCCTAGTAGCTCATTGTTTCTGTGGTGAATAATGCAGGTAGTGTGGTCGGATGAACTTGGGATACTTCCTCCCTTGGGCATGGCAAGATCGCACACGGAAAATTCTTGGAAGGTGTCCGTTCTAGTTCAGCCACAAAGGTGTGAGCGAGAACGCCAGCGGCTCCGAGCAGAAGTGGAGGTGCGAATGGATTGAACACACAATGTCAGAGTGCAAAAGGACTACCAGAGGATGAACATCGAAACAGGTTCCTTTGGGGATTGACCTGAGTCAAAAAGGTGCTCAAAGGCGAAGGCAAGGCATGGCACTCATCACTCACTGTGACCCACTTCCCTTCACCCACCGACGCCAGTTCTGCGCCTGGATGCTGAGGCGGTATCACAACGCCTAACCGTGCAGGAAGAAGAGTTGGCGGCAGGCCTGGGGGCTATATGCAGGTCAACTAGCCCATGCACCAGCTTGTTGAGCGTCTCAATGATGGATGCTAGTAATAGTAGGTTTTGGTGGATGCCACGGTTGTGTTTTGCTTGCCTTACAGAAATATGGGCGAGACATGGAAGACCATTAGAACAGGTGCACTAGACTCGCTAGACCATGGAGATACCGACATATTCTCAATATTTTGTAGGTGGTGCTTTGCTTGTGGAACCTCTGAGGTTGGACCTGTACATTACAGTCATACTTGTTCAATGTTTTTACCATGCAACGTTGACTTTGTCGGGTGAACTCTTGTTGTTTCCATTGACGGGCAGACAATCTGAGAAAGAGACTCAGGAGGCAGTATTGTTCACCGATTTATGGGATTGTTCATGACTGTTTGGAACGTGAGTGATGCACAACCGTTTGAAGATTGTAGCACAGCATTCCCAACTGTGGTACTGCAATTATAGTCTGATAGTGGCAGTGTTTTATGTGTTCTCTGTATTCTCTAACGAAGCAATTGCCGAAGTGGCCATTGATAAGTTTGAGAGGAAGTCAGCAAAAGCACTGACAAACCTTTGGCAGTGACTGGAGTGCCAAGGTTTCAGCAGCGGTAATAGCTAATTCAGAAGCCACCAACCTGGAGATCGGCAATGATTATATAAATCTATGTGACCGATCAGCATGTACCTTTGGTGATTGTACTTTCGTGTTCGCCGATGTCGATAAAGACCACAAATTGTATTCTGCATGTCGAGGAAAATGATTCGGAGGAAGTTCAAGAGATCCTCAATGAACCACGCACTCCCATGGATGCCAATGGGAATTCAACACTCATCTCCATATTGCAGCTTGTAATGGGCATATGGGAGTTGTCCCCGTTATGGTTGAGTCTTGGCCGGAGATTGACAAGGCCAGAGCAGATGTCAGAGAAACACTGTTGTTTATGGCAGCTGAAAATGGGAACGTGGGGCTCAGATGGACAAGGCCAGACCAAGTGATTGCACAACACGATTTGGCAGTCCGAAATGGAAATGAGGAAGCTTTTCCTTTGCCACATTTGTCGGCCTGCAGCTCGACATTGAATATGGTAGTGAATGAGCTACGCAAAAGGCTCGCCAACACAGGAAGGTAAGGAACGTCGACTTCGATTGATTTCATAAACAACATATATATAAACTTTGTTTGTTGGGACTGTGGTCCGTGGTTTTTCAACAATCAGTTCTCTCCCACTTGGCTGAAAAAGGTGAATCCGATTCCGTATGGATGTCCATGGCCTTTTGATAAACAGCTTCACTGAGACCGGAGGTGCCCTCTCCACAGTTCTTTATGAAATCACAAATCACGTCTGCAGATCTGGTTGATTCTGGTTGATTATACAACAGCTGAAGTGTTCAGGGCCTGGATTGGCGGTTCCAAGTATAATCAGCTTGAACTGCTGATGATATGCATTAACTCCATAGACTCTCAACGAGTTGTCGAACAACACTGCGAGGTTATAATGACCGGGCTGTCGATTATGTCCCTTGTGAGATTTTCATGTTCAGTCATGCCACTTCATGCCATGATCCTGTTGCCATTTAACCTCCAATGCACTAGAAGGGTGGGCACATGACGTCATTCGACGCCTTTGGAGAAACAGGCTGCTTCGAGTGCAAGCGTTTAGATCCAGGGGCCAGGCTCCGTTGTCGAGCCGACAATCGCATTGGTAGCGCGGCAAAGGTTAGCGCCGCTGCGCTCGACGCTGCCTGATGGACTTCGAGGACTTCGATGAGCTCTACGAGGCCTTCGATGCTGATGGCGCGGACGAGAATGGAGACGCCGCCTTCAATGGCGCGATCCCAGCTGACCACATGGAGGAGGATGATGATGACGACAACCAGGTCTATGACTTCGACGATGACCTGGTGAATGGACCTGCACGGCCGTTGGGACCTAACCCTCTTCAGCAGCTCCTTCAAGGAGAAGAGGATCTAGAGGCTCACGATCTTCACAACGTGGCCAATCCGGTCCAAGCTCTCGCAAGTGGCGATCAGGCCACATCCCTGCCCCGCCGACCTTCGCGGGGAACGTGGAGGACGAGCCCTACTGCTTGCGACATTACCGTCGCGCCCTGCGACGGTGGACGATGATTACAAAAGAATTTTTGCCGGCCAACGAACAGGCCCTGAGAGCGCTCGACGCGCTCACTGGCGAGGCCGCTTTGGAGCTCGGGGAGGTGGACGATGAGCGCTACGACAAGGAGACCGGGATCCAGCAGCTCCTCGATGATCTTGAGATCAGCTTCGGCGAGCGCGAGCTGTTTCGTCGCGGAGGACTGGTCCGCGAGTACGAATCCCTGACAAGGGTCCAGGGAGAGTCGGTCTGCGCCTTCCTCCGGAGGTTCAGACTCTATGAGAGGAAGCTCAAGGACGCCCAGGTCCCGCCCTATCCGGACGAGACTCGAGCGGTCAAGCTGCTCGATGGCCTCCGCCTTGACGAACGAGCCACTTCGCAACTGCTCCTAGCTGCCGGCAATCGCTACAGCTTCCAAGCATTGGTTGAGGCGATCCACATCCAATATCCTGCAGGGCTGACGTTGACGGGGATGTCACGACATCCAGTCCCTGTCCACGTCGCTTCAGCTCCACGAGCCCCGAGGTCGAGGGGAAGAGGTGGAAGTTTCCGCTGGAAGACATGGCGCACCGAGGCCATGCAAGCAGAGGACGACCCAGTGGAGGAGGTCTTCATGACTGTCGGCGATGAAGCTCCGCAGTATGAGGACGACCAGAACAACGACACCTTCGAGTACCAGTTCGCTGACTATGATGAGCAGGCTGAAGACTATACAGCCGCTGCGGAGGAGTTCGAGCCCGATGAACTCCCTGAGTATGAGGCCGGCGATGACGCTGGCGATGAACACCAGGCCATGACGGCCACGAGCAAGCGCCTGGCTGCGACTGTGCAGTCAAGGGACTACTACACCACCGCCAAAGACAAGGGCAAGGGCAAAGGCCATGGAAAAGGTGCTGGCAAGGACAAGGGTTTTGGCAAGAAGGGAACTACATCCTCTTCTTCGCCTACGACCACTTCCAAAGGAAAAGGGTCCGGCAAATCCAAAGCCGGTTCAAAGGGTGGGAAGTCCAAAATGAATCCCACCCAAAGACAGCGCATGCAGGGCAGCCTATGTTTGGGCTGCGGAGCCTCAGATCACTGGCTTCGTGAATGCCCACATGTCACACAGCACCAAGCGCATGTGTGCTCAGCCTCATCCACCCTGGATGGAGATGGCGCCGTGGTTTGGATGGCAAGCCACAACAAGATGCCTGGCTGGCAGCCTGAGCCTGATCCCACACCTTCATCGTCTTCGGCACCATCCACTTTGAGCCGCCAAGACGAGGAAGCCACCACCACCTCCTCCAAGGAGGGAACTGCCGGCGGAGGACACCCTGCCGCCCTGGGAGGCCTTGGTTCCAGAAGGATGGAATCCCGATGACTATGCCGACTACGAAGACGGCATGGCTTTCTGGAGGCAAGAAGCTCAGAGTTTGAACGCCCTCATGAACGAAAATGGCAACATTCCAGGAATGAGGGAGCTTCCTTCGCCAACAGGTTCTTTTCGAACCGCTCGGGCCACAGAGTCCGACTTTGCTTCATGTGCGCCCAGCCGGGCGCCCAGTGAATTTCAGGACGCTCAGAGTGAAGCTCCGAGCGATTTTGGAACTTTCAATTCTTCATCTCATGATTTTCCTTCGCATGAGTAGAAAAACAATGGGGTGAGGGCCCAAGGACCTCAAGAACACAACAACGGGGCGAGGACCCAAGGACCTCAAGAGTTGATCAACAATGGGGAGAGGATCCAAGGACCTCAAGAGACATAGGCTGTCCATCTTTGACCCTTGAGGGTTACCCATTTCTAGCCGCCCAGCCGGCTCCCGTGGCATTGCCACCACCTGCGCCCTGGCGCCGAGCCATGGCATTTGAGGGGATCGCGAACGACGATGAGAACGGCAGGCCAGCTCGGCCGATGAGCGAGCATCCCATGGTGAGGATGCGCCATCCTTCAGGTGCGGCAAGCACTTCTGCCTTGGCTGGTGGCTACCGGACCGAGACCTACTACCGGGTCCAAATGGTCTATGCCTCGCGAACAGCACGACCGCCTTCTTTGCTGCGGTCGGTTCCTGAGGAAGACGCTGATGGAAAGCCACTTGATCATTTGTTTCGCGCGCCCCCAATCACCAACATGATGCAGTACACGGACGAGCCATGGCTGGCCATAGGCGGCCATAGTGGACACTGGCTGTCAGCGACAAGTGGCTGGCCGCCGATGGCATGAGCTCCATCTCAACCACGTGCAGCTCCCCAGACTGTTTTTCGTGGAAAACTGTGCTTTTCGCTTCGGTCCGAGCAAGAGTTCGAGGTCAAGAGAAAGGTATGCATATCCAGCAGGTCTTGGAGGTCATTTTTGTGTGATGTTCTTTTCATGTGTTGAAGAAGATGCACCCGCTTTGATGTCACGCCACACCATGACCACACTCGATGCCATCCCGGACATTTCAACGGGCAAGATGATTTATAGAGCTTTGGGCACCACTTCACAGCTGTATCTTTCCACCTGCGGTCACCTAGCAGTTCGCCTAGATGAATGGCCTGAAGAACTTCCAAGTTGGCCCTGTCAGATGCCCTTGGACAAGAACGAGTTGCCTGATGTTTGGACTGTGACTGCCACTCCGGTTTAAGCTCGAGACACTCTGCTGTGACACCGCCCGGAGATGCCCGCTCCTCCTTCATGGCTGAGGCGCTGGCGTCAGCTGCTGGTCCACCTGGTGAACCTGGTGGTGACTGTGAGCAAGTCGGTGCTCCACTACGCCGACTGGACGGAGGAGATCGAGGAGCAGCGTGAGGACTTCGAGAACGACCAGGAGAACTACCCGGACATGGGCCTGGAACAGATGTCCCTGGACAGTTCGGCTCTCTGAATCCACAGCTGTCTGGGTCGGCCGACCAACCTTTGACCTT